CCCAGGTGTTGATTCTTGCACACATTTTCCCTTCTCGAGTTGTATGCTTCTACATAGGCTATAACATCATTCTACTACCTAAGATTTCCTAAGTTGTATCTCGAGTAATTGTTAGGGGACCCAAATAGTAGGACACAGTTGAGGAAGCCAGATGATGTACTCAATAATTCAACAATAGATAGGAACACCTCTAGGATAAGTACTATTGACCTTCCTATATTATTCAGATCAGAAGTTCAATAACTATAATACTTCTCAGTTGTCTATCTTAAATTATACTGACCCTTAAAGATGATTCCTAATAAACACACACACTCCCCTAGAGAGTAAACCTTTCGATTATATACCTCCCTCAGAATATATGAGCCGAATGCCATAAGTACTCATGTTTCCTAACTTAGAAATTTAGGCATCCCATTACTTAACCTGCATAGAAATACTATTTTAAATTAATGCTAAATAGCGACCGAATATACAACCCCTATTGAATCTCCGTGATGTTTCTAGGAGTAATCCAATTTCTTAAGATTCCGGAACATATTTTTTCGAAACAAGTTTTTATTTTACGGGTTTAATCTCGGCATAAAAATATATCTATTCATAAGGACAATCAATGCACACAAATCTAAAATCATCAAGGTAATTTACACATATACGATATCTGTTCACTATAATATTAATCACCATTTGTAAGAAAGAAAAGAGCATGTAACCCCCTATATGCATTTTTCTTATGACCTCCCTCATTAGCCTACTTCCTAGAGGGGGCTGGCTATTCGATGTGAATAAAATATGCAAAGGGATAAATCTTATCATCCATGTTCTTTTTAGCTTATTTGATGCCCCTCCGTTATTTTTCTTGAAGAAATTTACGAGGTGAATACACCTTCTCCTTTTTTTCACCGTGTCAAATGCCCCTCTTCAATTTCCTGGGATAAGATTACTTGAGGGGGATACTTTCTCTTTCCTTAGCATGATTATCCACTTCTTGGCAAATTCTTTGCATAAAAGAATTGGTCGGATTCATCACTTCTCTTTGTGTCTATTTCCCTCTGATAATTATTTTCAATAACATTAATGGGGGAATATAGGTCCCCCACTGCTTCTACTGGTACTCCTTTCTTCTTTTTTAGATCCAGAAAGGTTGTAGGGGGGGAATATATTCCGTCCCTGATTCAAATCCTTAGTCCGTTACTTGAACTAACACCATACGGGAGAAATCTTCCTTCTTTTTCTATTGTGAACGATTTTTCTTTGGGGAATTTCTCCGATTCGTACGCTGCTTGGAAGACATTTTTCTCTCCTTGTCTTCTTGAGTTATTCTTCTCTGTTATTGGAAGAATCGATATGACACTAAATGGGTTAAAGAGTTCTCCTTCCTCTTTGTATGCAAAATAGTACTCAGTTTGTAATTAATTCGTATGACACTATATTGTTTAAACACTTTTTCGTCCTGAGGGGTTCTATATTTCCTTCCTCGTAATTAATTGGAATAATATCAGATGTGTGAAGCACTTGTCCTCTCCTGTGTACAAATTATTACTCTTTCGGTAATTAATTGGAATGAAACTAATCGGGTTAAACACTTTCTTCTTCCGGTGTGCGAAATATTCCACTTCGTGTAACTAATTGGAATCACATTAAACGGGGTAAACAATTATTCTCCTTGGTTTTGTAACCTTTTTGGCGTCCGATAATTAATTGGTATGACATGGAATTGTCTAAACAATTGTTTCATCTTTTGTGTAAAATATTTGCCCCTTCGTAATTATTTTGAAGGACATTATTCGGATTAGACAAATTTTTCTCGTGGGATGGTAAATATTTCACGACTGATAATTAACTTGAATCGTATTAAATTGCGGAAACAGTTCTTTTTTATTTTGTGCAAAATGTTGCTCCTCTGATAATTATTCGGAATCACGTTGTCGAAGTGAAACATCTCTCGTTATTTGTGTGTAAAATAACGCACACATTCTAATTATCCGGTGTCACACTAATCGGGGAATAAATCTTCCTCATCCTTATTCTCCTTTTAACGGGGTTTGGCAATTATTACTACTGACACTAAATGGGTTGAATACTCCTTCTTCTTATCATTACTTTATTTAGCTGTCTGCCCCTGAATGCTCTGAATCACATTACATGAGTAAAATATTTTCCCGTCCTTGTCTTCTGAAACTATTGCCCCTTCTGGTAATTATTTTGAATGACACTAGAGGATATTAATGTTCCTTTTTTTTTTTGGTGCTTTAATTATTCCGCTGCGCCTGCATCTTCGGTATGACATTATACGAGTGAAAGATTCCTCCTTCACGGTGTGTGGAATATATTGTGCTCTTTGGTTGGTGGTTGGAATGAAACTAATTGCGATGAGCATCCCCATTCTGTTATTGGTTTATTATTTCCTTGGCACCGGAATGCACGGAATAAATTTACACGATTGGAACATTCCTTCCCTCAGGTCTCTTTAACTTTCCTATGTGTTGAATTTCTGTAATAAGATTATCCGGGTTAAACATGACTTCTTCCTTCCGTTTCTCCATTACTCCTTGCCATTGGAAGGATGAAAACAGGACTAAATCAGTACAGCAGCTTTGCCAATCTGCGTGCAAGATCTCTCAACCCCGACTTCTTTGGAATTAAATTAATCGGATTGAACACTGCCTCACATTGATTTGGTTAATTCTTTCCTGTCTTGTTGATGAGGGCAATACAATTCATCGAATTAAACATCATGTTGCTCCTTCCCTGCTTAAGTGCCTTTTGCCAACGGACTGTATGAAATAAAATCTTTCGGGTGGAACATTCTGCGTGTTCCTTTTCTTGAGAATCATTCTGCCGTTACCGCTTTCTCCAGAATAAAATTAAACGGGGGAAATATTCTTTCTTTTCTTTTTCTTTTAATTATTTCTGCTACTGCAATATAGGTAATAAAATAACACGGGTATAATACTGCCTCCTTCTTCCCAGGAGAATTACTCCAGCTATTGTAATGTAAGTAATATATTTACACGGGTGTGACATCCTCCTGCTGTTTGCCCTTCTTAGGATTTTTCGCCACGGTAATTTTCGGACCAGGGTTAATCGGGTTAAACAGCTTGTTTCTGTTGTGTTGGTTAAGTACCTCCTCTGATTGTTATCTTCCAAACAATATGAGAGTGCTGAAATCTTTGCCTTGTTCTTCTTCGGGTACATTCCTGTCTTCATATCACTGCAATGAAAGATATTTGACGGGGAAATTATCCTTTTCTATGTCTTCGGTTAACCATCCATTCCTATGTGAATATTCCCAATATAATTAATCTGTTGAAGCATCCTTCTATTCTTCCTATTGTGGTAATTTTTCCCGGCCACCGGAATGTACTGGATAAAATTAATTAGGTGGTACATGCTTCTTCTCCTCTGATTGTTTTAATTATTCCTTTCCACCGGAATGCATGGACTAAGATTAAACGGGTAAAACATTTCTTGATTTTCTTTTTGTTGAGTATTCCTTGCCATTGGATGGCAGACAATAAAATTAGACGAAGGGAAAATTCTTTTTCCCTTCTTTTCCTTTTCTTCCTTATTTTTTCCCTTTTTTTCTTCCTGTTTTTCTTTTTTTTTTTTATTTTATATAAATGTTACTGCTTTTTTAATATCGTGATTCTACAGTTCACTTTGAACGATGCTCCGACTTACAGAGATTTGACCACCGCAGGACATAAAGATCTAGGCAGATCTTATTGCTTTCTTCGAAATATATATCAGAATATTCAAATCTCTGAAGAAAATCCTCTATTAGTTCTGGGGGGGTTCCTCTTGAATAATTCTACAAGCCATGTATTACATGCACACCAAGACGGTATTGTGGCATCCCATGGTATCACAACGTTGTTCAACATACAATGTCAATATTTACATGAATTTATAATGAATCTCCTGATATGGTATTAAATGGTGTGTACCTTTTCTACCAAACAACATAATCATTTTTTAAGTTTTCCTTTTTTTCTTGCGCTATATTTTATCATTTCGTAATTCTTAAAATTACCCTGCTGCTGTTGTAACATTAATAACAATACGGGTACAACCTTATGACCATAGGCATTATGTACCACCTTAGTATGTGCTCCGTAAATTATCTCTCAAGATGCAAACTTTCTTTAAATACTTTCTTTATTCTTTGTATATTACCCAATTGACGAACGTTCAATTAACGTTTAGGTTGAGACTCTTCATTCACACTTCCTCCTTCTGTTCGAAACAAATTACCAAACAACAATTCTCACTCCTCCTAAAAATTTGTATTGCCCTTAACAAACTCCCTTTTGAAATGTATATTTCCTCTCATTTAGCAGTTTAAACTTTTATATTATAGAGAAATACATATAATACGTCATTCTTTATCGTCTTAGGTAGTTCACGCGTATGAGTACATAGAGAATTACAGTCATAGATAGATTATTTCTGTTTACTAAGAGGCTTGTAAGGACTTTGCGAAGTGAAATGTAATCCTTAATTGTGAAATATTTACTACTATACAAGAGTGTCAAACAAAGAAACTAAAAAAATTGAGTTAATTAAGCGCAGAATCCACATATATAGAAAAACATTGTCAGTCCTTACAAGGAGAAATTTAAAAAAATGTACCTCACTTATAAATAAACTACCCATTTAAGTAGCTTCCATATTTCGAATAGATATTCCTGTCTCTTGCTTGTATATGTATGGACGCAATACGTATGTAACGAATATTGTACTCTACGGAACTTCAAAACGTTCCCCTTTCTTTTTTTGCTTTTCACTTGGAATTTCAGGGGAGTAAGATAATGGGATTTCCGTCTGTCCAAGCCACTTTGTCTGATTATAGAATCAGAGCAAAGCTTAGGTTGTGTTCCACTGTCCTTTTACATCATTAATTTACGCGACATTTGCGGCCAAATGCATATATACGTGCACAATCCTTCCTTTTAGCACTGTCTTTCGTAATTTTCCTCAGTTGATAAATCCCATTCTTAGTTATCTCCCTCTTTTGGAATCATTCCTTCATCCAATTCCTTCTTTCCCAAGGTTTGTAGGGTCTCTCTCAATTCAGCAGCCTCTCTCCTGCAATTGTTCAAGAAATTGACAAATTCTTCCTTAGTCAACTCACCCTTTAGGATGAGGCTGCTAAAAAGTCTATTGTAGTGCTCCTCCTTCTCTTTCAATACGTCAAAACAAATCGATATGAGCCTCCTCCAAGGGACGCAGGCATCCTCTTCTTCTATTTGATGCCTCTCCTTCAATTCTTCGAAATATTCCATTAATGCAATTAGCATTAAGCAAACCGCTCGTACTACCAAAGCATATGTGCGCTTCCACATCTTGATAATTTCATTTTTTGATGGGACTTCTTGTATATTACTGATCAGTTCGTCTAGTTCCTCATTTGCCACATCACTAGTAAATATCATTTCACTATCCCAGAAGGTAGCCGAGGAAATATTACATAAGTCATTTTCCTCTTCATATTTTCCTTCAACAATTTGATCTGAATCCAAAGCGTCCTCTTGTTCATTTTCAGTTAAATCCATTTCATCAAAGACAGATAACATGTCATCATCAGATTCAGATTGGGAGAAACTTATATTTGTATGTGAGTCCTTTTCCCTGAAGCATCCATTTCCATTTTACTCGGATAAGTTCTTCCCCTCTATGTTGGCCATGACATTCCTGTTTGAGGGGGTTATCTTCTGCGAGAAATTCTTAAAAAGCATTTACAGTGATAGGTGCCGCACACATTAACCTATGTATAATATTTATAGTTCATATGTATAGACTACTTCCTGCATGTAAACTTCGCGAAGGAGCGTATATTGGACTCCATATAAGAACGGAATCATAAATTGCCACAAGCGTCGAAGTATTTATTTGAGAAATTTGTACTCTATATAAGTTACTAGTAGCAACATATAAATAGGGACAACAAGGAGTGTAGCTAAGGAGGAGGGAAGAAAAAATCTTCGAAAATTAAAGCCATGTGAGATTCCCTCTTGGGCCCTACTGGCAGGGGAACATTTTCGGTCTTTCCCGCTATTATTAGGTGAGGATTCATCAGCCGAAGCAGAATTAGATTCCCTGACAGAAGTCATAGTGGCCTAATTTTATTCTTTTGGTATATATAGGTATACATAGGAGGAGGTTATCACCCGCGCAAAAATTGTTCCAAATTTATAACTCAGAGCGCCCGTATTGCGTCATTATAGACTACGTCAACATGGAATAAAAAGTGTTGAAATATGCTAATCTATGTTACAATCTGTAGTAAAAAATACTTCATAAAGAGTCTGAGGACTTCAGAAATTTTAGAAGAAGCAGAAGCACTTATATAAATAAATTGGGGCATTTCACAACATATCTTCAGCTTAAAGAAAAAGGAAAGGGAAGGACCCCATGGCAGCTGTTTATAAAATTTATTTCTTCTGTCACAATGCACGGTATTAGAAATATTTATCAAACACGACGGTGTGTATTCCAGGTTGCTAATCGCGATGGCTAGCTCAGCAAATATATCAAGGCACTTCCTGCTTACAATATATTCTTACAGCCACTTTCTTCCTCCAAATATCGCAAAATAAGCCATATAAAGGATTCAGCAGATATTTCTCTATATATTCGACGCTAATGACTTCTGAAGAATAATTTCCTCACGAAGGCAGCGTATACATTATATTACCACCTAATTCGTTGCCCAGGCTGACATTGTGTACTTATACAAATTTAACTATTATTTATGAATTCCAATTAAGAAAAAACTATATTTCCCCTTCATTATACATTGTAAAGCACAGAAAAGGGAAAGCTATCTTCTTATTTCAGGCTCTCTTTACCGTCAAACGATAGTATACACGATGCACATGACTCTTAATTTAAATCTGGAACATTTAAAAGAACCTATTAAATATATGTACTACTTATAGGTGCAATTGCAGAACAAAACGGACGACAGTTTTGATCAAATTCTATTATCATGGACAGTCCGCATTTTTTTCTTTCCTTCCTTCTTGATAATCTAAACACCTTATAGTTGTATTTTAGCGAAGAAATGGTGACGCCATATAGGTTCCCTCTTTTTTTCCTTTTTCCTTTCTTTCTTTCCTTTTTTTTTTTCTTCTTTTTGGAGACAATAATCCAAATTGCTATGATCTTTCTATGATTGTTATGTTAGTACTTCTTAACAATTTTTTCTGAACATTCCTCAATGTAAGACTCTCCCATTGCAGGCACTTACAGTAAATTCCATAGGAATCATGGAACGATCAATGCAATTCGTAGCAATTCAGAAGATGTTATATATACATTATGCGAAATGTAACCAGGAAGAACGAAGGGTGGTATCAGCATTGCCTTCTGAAGTCAGTGTAGTATAGCTAACTTATATATCTATATGGATACTACGTGTCTTAGTCCTTTCAATTTTAACTCATAGCTAGAGTAATTCCGTCTCGTATCACACAGGCAGAAGACATCATTCTGATTCTAATGACATATCTTATATGCGCAGTAAAACGTATCTTCAGGTAAGGCAGTGAATTCTCCAAATCCTTAATACCATTAAGGAGTAAAATAAACAATTCCTCTTGAAGAATCTCAGAAGGTTGGATCGCGAATGCTTAGCCTCTGGAAGCTACGCATATCATGTACCTATAAAGGTTTAAAAAAAAAGAAAAGAGCGTTAACATAGTTTAGAGCATTCAATAATAAGTTTTATAACATCAATTAAAGGAAAGACAAATTGACAAGCCTTAAGCATGAGTTCAATTCATTGCAATGTTTAAAATGCGGACAGAATGTCTATTAGTCTTTCAAGATTTGAAGACTTGTTCATGGTGAAACATAGAATCACCATGGCAGTGGGGCACCCATCATTCCTGTGACGGTGTCCTATAATAAACTCGGCTTCTCTTCTGTATAAAAAAAGGAGATTATCAAATAAATACATATATAAGGACATATCTAGAAACAAATTTCTGCTTGCTCCTTTTAGCAGGGTATATATGTATATATATGTGTACATGCTGCTTAGTCCGTCTTTCGCAAACTTCACCTCTCTACTTCCATCATTAGTGTGCCTCAATCCGATACACATTTATTTAACTGACGTCTTTCCATAGTAACTGACTTATCTATAAATAGGGTAAACGCTTCTTTGGCCACATTTATGAAGGGGTTAGGTTTCAACTGGAGCAAATGATCCATTATGATGTAGTAGAACAGCCTATTGTGATACTCCTCCATGATTTCCATAGGTGTCTCAATAGTATTATTGTTGTTCTGCACCAGTTCCTCCTCAATGTCCTCTTCTACGCTATAAAGACTTCTTAATCTTCCCAAATAATATGATAAATGGTCCTTCAACGTCTGCAACGCTGTTGTTGCGTCTTCATGCAATTTCATCCCTCCTTGTAGTATGCTGTTGCTCAATAAATTATTATTCACGGAACTCATTATTTCATTTATATCTTCTTCTTTAGAGCTGTGGAGAAGGATGTAGTATTCTACACTTAACTCAGGTGGTTGGTAGGAATTCTGGCAAAATTTCTCTATTTTGTTTACACCTCCTTCTGAGTTTTCATATAATTTGTTTATAACTTTGAAAATGAGGCTGTTCTAATTCTTTCCGTGTAGTATTTTAATTTGTCTGTTTGCTATTCCACAGAACGTGTCTAATTTCAAGAAAATAGTCTGTCGATTTTCGCTCTCTTCTATTCTTATTTCTCTGTGGAATATGTTGCAAGTTGTCCTTACTTCCCTGAGGCCTGTCTTCTGCCATGTCTTGCGCCTTTTCATTATATGTATATTCATTCTGGTTGGTAGGTTGTTCAGTTAAAATTCATGCCTGCTGCTCAAAGAAATTTGCCATTTCAACAATAACCTTCGAAACATAGGCATGCTGAAATTTTATATTTTTCAGACATTAAGATCATTAATATATACTACTTTTATTTTTTCTGTATGTATAGTCTACAGCAGATGTGGGATTGCTTCTTATTTTAATAAACTTGTCCTCTCACTGACATCCTGATATGACTAATCACCGCGAGAAATAGAATACAAGGACGTGTCGAATTGAACACATGAGGAATTGTTTTATTCTCTATTTCTTCCCCTTCTGTCATAGATGAATAAATATACCTAGAGAGATTTACTCGGTATATAATAGTGCTTCTGTACAGAGTTGTAGACGTTGATATGAGAGAAATCATTTAATGACAGTAATTTTCAAAAGTAAAAAGAGAACTTCCCTTATAGTAAAAGAAATCATTCTAGAATTACTATCTCTATATCTAAAGGAGCGCAAAACATACATAAGAAAGTTACAGAGTATAACAAAAAAAAAAAAAAAAGTCCACTTTGTTATCTTTCCCGAATCGAAAATGGAACATGTATGATGTAATTAGAAAAAGAAGAGGAAGAAAACAGAAAGAAGAAGGAAAGGCAGAAAATTAGAAATGACAAAAAATACACACTTTTAAGGTTAAATGTAAGGAAATCACAGCCGCGGAACAACTACAGGAAAACGAGAAGGAAGAATTATAAATGACATGAAATACAGACTCTTAAGGTTGAACAAGAAGAAATCAGACAGCAGGAAGCAACTACGAACAAAAAAGAAGAAATAAAAGAAGCGAGTAAAGCGAGCCAGAGTGAGAAAATGACAGGGGAAACACAGGAAGGGGCAAGGGAAGAAACGGAAGGGAAAGAACTCATCTTTATACAACACAGAAGTAAGAGAACTTTATGGATACAGAAGAACAATAAGGGGAGGAAGAATATCTATGTAAGCACATGTATATGTATATTGCTCAACTATACAAAGTACCGGACCTCCGCGAATAATTCCCATGAAAGAAAACAATCTTTCTCACCAAACAATCCTGATTAACATATAACACGAAATAGAGTATAAAGGGGAAAATTCACACGGCCTTTGGATTTTTAAAATTATTCTCATATCCAATATTTTTCCTGATAATTAGAAATTCGGGATCCTGTAGAATTGTATATAACGGCATCTATGTCACATTCTATATGCCATATTCCCAATGAATGACCCCCTCATTTCATTTTTATATTAACATTAGACTATATTCGGCATAAAATGAATAGGATGCTGTCGTAGCAAAATAGGACGGATTAAGAAGAATTCGCAATTATCTTATTATCATTAAGAAAATTAGGAGCTCCCTCTGACAAGTAAATAAATCCTGCAGAGAAATATTTTCTCTTTTTTTCTGTAAAAATAAATCTATTATACATCTGAATTTGAAGATCGGAACTGTTAATTTATGGGGTAATTTATTGAGAACCCTCACATCTTACTAATGAGCGATGGATCATAAATTTTATTTTCTAATTATTGGGGGATGTGTAACCCCATATAAACATGCTATACGGAACTTTCACCGTCTTAGGATTTTAATTAGGCAGTATATTTCTATTGACTTAGTCCCTGCTTATCGTAGCATATGGGTTGAAGAATATAAAAGGAATTAACCAAGAAAAAAGAAGAAAAAATGGGGAATAGAAAATATATTTTTTTAATAGATTTAGCTAAGAATAATAATTTAATCCATCCGTGATAATGCCTAAAATATTTTTCCATTGACGACCTTTTAGGAATAAAAGCTCCCCTGTAAAAGATGTGTAAATTACGCAAATAATATAATGGGAACGGAATTTTCATTTATCTTGATTTAGTCTCATTTATTTTTATTTATTTTTATCTATTTCTGTTTATTTTTATTTATTTCTATTTATTTTTATTTATTTATACTTAACGCGTGCATTCAATAGTAATCTTCCTTTTCTTCTCCAAATATTATTCTGCTGATGTTAATAATGAGACATTGCATTTTCTAATTGAGACCAGTTAAAGACTGCATAATTGTATGACGCCATAGGTCATAAGAAACATCTTTCAAGGGGGAAATCATTTTAGATAATATCATATATAACATTTCCATAAGGGGGTAGCGAACGAAATGGCACAATTCAGCAATGTATCACCCACAGCAAATTCTTCTCATGATAGTCTGTATTCGCGTCTCCAATCATTCACTCCTGAGAAAACAGCCATTTTGTTTCAATGAGGAAAATAGTTTATAACCGGAAAAATGTTTAGTATATTTCACCGCAGATGCCATCCGAACTGGGCTTCCGGGGCTATAAGTGAACTTCTATTTCAGCCTGAGGAGGCTCGTAGAATTTCTTCCTCAGAGATTTACACTTCATGCATCCTGATCGGTTGACGTATACGACTTTATCATAATATTGAACAGGTGATCCTCGTACGCTCCGTTAATGTCATTCGTGAAGGGCTACCTCTCTTAGTCGGTAGTAATAAACTCATAGAATACTATAAAGAATATTCTCCCCTTCCTTTTTCCCCACAGATCGCTCTGATTCTTGGTATGGAATAAAATGGGCTCTTATGGAGGAATTACGCAGTAGAAAAAATAAATTCCAATTTGTATATTATTTGGCGCCAAATTATGCACCCTCTTTGTGCATTCTGTTAATAGAGGAACTATTTCCGTGGCTTCTGGACAATCCGTATTTCATTTCAATGTCTTAGTCTATTTCCTCTTATGTTTTAGCACATTCCTCCGTTGGTCCACATTGTCCACGATATTAGTCTATAGACGTTGCAGGACAGTAAACGGATATTATGATATATGAAGAATAGAATTCGGTATAACTCTATAACTACTGCGTGGGGAATCACATATTTGATTTTACCCCATGCCAATCAGTTGAAAGACGGTTACCTCCTCGTGATCCTGAGAGATGAAGTTTATAAATTGAGAAATGTAGAACTACCTTCCCTTTAGCAGAGGAGGAATGGATAATTTTGTCTTATGAGAAAACCTTAGAACATGCATAAAATTCCTTTCAGGAGCTATTATTTAGCAGGATATTGAACTGCCCATTTTAGAGTGTAATAGGATAACTATATTGACAGGGGGGAAGGTGAGGATATTTTCGCAGGAGCCATATAGGAGTCCTATACGGTAGAAAATGTAACACTTATTTTTCATCGTTTTATCAGTGAAGTCATTCCTTATGATAGCTGCCCTGTTGTAGTGATTAAGTGATAAATACGGAAGTGCAAGTTCCACAATTGGGATAATGGACTTTTGCATAAATCCGATGTCATCGATGTAGGATAAAGGTGCAGATAATTCTTCTATCATACAAAATTCTTTTCTATAGAATGCATAGATTCCTGCTCTATCATTATTGCATATACTGAACTATTTCGTCACAGAAAATTAATTCTTCGAGTTTTCTCTCATATACCTCGTTATACGAAATAGTTTGATATTCATTTTTTCTTTATTTACATCAATTATTAATTAAATGGAATTCCAGGTATGCCTGTTTCGTGAAGTGAAAAATGTATTACCGGTGAAGTTAAACTCTTCTTGTTTGTAAATTTTCATTGTTACAGAATAATTGCGATATTTTTTGCACCTTCATATCTAGAAAAATATGAAAATATAAAACTAAATAAGGGACCGAAGCACATAATCTTTCTCATGTCCTCTAGAGTGATATAACATCTGCTTAGTATCTATTCGCAGTGTACAGGAAAGCGCGCTGTTATTTATACTCCTTTTATAATAATAAAGTACACGATGTAGCTAAAGTGCGCCAAGAAATATATATGCAATTATTTTTAAAGAAGAGAAAAAGATATAGATGTTTCATTTTAGGGATGCGAAATATTTATTAAGAGCAAGTGGAACGCGTGCATTTTTCACCTAAGGGCAGTGAAATTTTTATGTGAATCCTCTGGACGCCATAGAAGAAATAATTATGTAAACTCCTATATACAAGCACACTATTAGACTGTTCTGATTATCATAAGATAATTCTTTACTTCTGATGAGAGGAGTAAAATTATTTATCTTTATTCTTAATCATATTATTCCGACGAGGTAGTTTAATATTACACATTTTCTTTTCAGTTATATTAAGAATGAACAGCCGAAGAGTACACTTATTCATACTCTAGTAAGAAATTAATTGATACGAAATTATGAATATCTCCTGAAATTATAAGGGGGAAATTTTAAAGGTGAATAATTCACGTTATCATATAAGATTTAGAAAATTAATTCATTTGTTATCTCTTTGTATGTTTAATTTCTACATTTTGAAGTGATTTATTTTTATTTGTACATAATAATTTAAAAACCCTAGAAATATGAACCATAAGAAATGATAAATTTATAGAAATAGGAATTACGTAATGAATTTTACTGATGATTGGCGTACAAAACATATAGAATATTCTTGTCATACTCATGCAATCATTACCAAGGAAACAGATAAATGGAAAAATTCAGCTGCCCCGTAGAATCAGAAGTGACATATAAATCGTTTTCAATAACAGCGCGCCGTGGTTACGAGGACGTGGGTATAATAGAAGAGGTTAATTTTTTCTTTCCATGTTTCGTTGAATACAGTTTTAACAATAAAATTCCCTTAACATGTAAGGAAGTAGCCTAATTAATAATAAATATACATTCCTCATTTCTACTGTGAGGATGATGAATCCCATGAAAGTCACTGCAGAGTAGTTCGTACGCCGAATTAAATATATAAGCCCCAATTTGCAAGTGATTTCCAACAGAAATCAGGAGCTATAACATAGGGAAAAATAAAAGATACTTACGATTAGAAGAGGAAGAAGAAATATGAGGATAAGACCATCTGAGCAGGTGAAACATTGAGAAGGAATTCCGATCTGAGTAACAACATATACCTGGGATCTATGACAACAAAATATGCTGTTCTGCAATTGTTGAGAGAGATACATCAATACTGTGAGAAAGCAGCTTTACAGATTTTATCGATAACTGTATAACTTGAAAAGACGTCTCAACATGAATAAGAGGTTATTCGTAAGAGAAATTCCTGGTACATGGAAGGTTTCTATATTCTTTCACATTCTAAATAGATTATTACACAAAGCAATGACCGTTATACTGCGCATAAGAGATATCTTATTCTCATGTCTCTTCTTATCATAAGTATATATGGCATTTAATGTGATAGGTAGACATGTATGGGATGCCATTTAGTTTCCATATAGTCCTTATTCAATAATGAAAGGAATCAGATGTAACATGGTATCATCTAAGAGTCCTGAACTGTCCTATCGTGTGTATAGTTCCTTTATGAAGGATTCTTTTTTGGATAGGTAGAGTCAGAACCTTCCATAAATGGCTGTTTACTGTATTATTAATTCTATAATCATGCCAAATGCACCCGGATAAATATAATATTTCCGATATACGAGGAATACGAAGAATGTGAATCTGCTTCATATGTGTCTTTTCATATT